ATATTGAGTTTTTATTGGTTTGAAACTAGTCGGCGACTTCGCTTTTATGTCACGCAATCCCCGTGACATGCTAAAAAATTTACTGAATTTACTGGCTCACTGTGTCGCAGAGAGAAAAAAACCGCAAGATATTTTTACATTTCCTTGCTGTTGAGTCTTTCTAGTAGGATCCAATTGATAGATTGCATTAAATACGCCAGACTTTTAAAAAATCGACCCACGAAAATCACTTCTATTTGCCCTCAGTCACGTATTCTCAAAGTAGCCCTCGCATCATGATTCTTATCTTTTTTTCAAAAGAAGCAAATTATTTCAAAGCACTTTCAAATTGTCATCTAAGAACTGCTTTACATTGGAAAAATAATTGTTTGTGAAAATACTTTTTGTCTTTGATGCCGCAACCCGTCGAATATCGGCTATTTTTCCCGTTTAATTTRTGCAAAATTGAGCGRCCTTCGGCTCCGGAAAGAAAATCGTGTAAAAAATTCATTTTAAAATATTTCTAAAATGAAATGCATTCCAATTACTTTTGAGGTAAGACAGTTTTGTTGGCAAAGTTTAAAGGAAAACTGCTTCCCTACCCGAATTGCAYCGGACCGCTTTTACAGAGACTGACTCTTAAGGTATTAGGATACGAAAAATGACAATTTGCTCGAATAATTTTTTTTTTGTTGTTGTTGAAATTTCGTAACTTTAAACTTTTGTCTTTCATATGTTAGTGAAACTTCTTGCAAATTTTGATGGGAAAAGCTAAAATTTTGAGACAAAACGAAATCGTGATCTTATCAAGACCGGAAATGTCCCGTTGCTTGCAATAACGTTGAGTCCAAATGCTCCTTTGTCCTTGTAAAAAGATCCTACATTGCGATCGTCCAGAACACCAGATAATTTGGCAAGTGATGACAAAATGAAAGGCTCAAGGTGTTTTGGCCAACACCATCGTGGTTCCCTGCAGTTTCCGGCTCCAAACAAAGAAATGCATTTTGCGAATTGTTTATGCCGCTAAAACATCAACTTCAAAAAGCTAAAAGGCCCTTGGATTTCATTCGACTTTTTTAAAATTTGGTGAGTTTAAAAAGCAACTCATGATCCAAAAATTTCTTTCCAAAGTTATGACGCTTTTTACTCTAAACAACACTCCAAAAGCAATCGCCAAACTTTGTTCAAAAATAGTGAGAGATATAAAACAGATATCAAAAATCTGGGACACCCTTTTTGAGCTTATTATCTCCTGAGTATGTTTAAGACATTTTTCGCAAACAAAGCTTAAAATGTACGTGTCCATTAATGTTTTCGCTGAGGTATGGTCAAATTTCGCTTAGAGGACAATAATGTGAACAACAATTTAAAAAATCGTATTTTGAAGATGTCTTCATAAACTATGTTTACTCAGCTTTCAGAAAATGTATACTTTGTTTGTGTTATACTATAAAGCCAGCACGTTATTTAAGTTTGCGCGCATAGTGGTTGCAAACGTATCCTAATACCTTAATGAGTTATTTGAACGAGGCGAGGGAAAATGCACTAACTGCAACCGTATTATAGTAATTGTAATAGTATAGTAATAACCGTATTTTCACGGGTTGCTAATTTATTTTATGATATCATACATTTTCACGAGCAAGAGAGCGTAAAATTTCGGGAAAAAATTGTTCACGAAAAGAACAAGCGTCTGTTTCTATGATATCATCAAACTCACGTGAACAAATTATAAGGAGCAAAAAAGTGCAGACGACGTCAGAAAGCAACTTAGAGATATTTTGGGATTAAAATTGGCAGAAACATATAACCTGTATAAGCAAGAACATTGAAGATGATGTTAGGATGAAAGACAAAATACCCCTCTTATCAATCAACAAAGCGTGGTATACCAATTCGTATTATATCCATTTTGTAATCACTGCCAAATCCTGTAAACTGATTGGTTAAAAATGATGCTATTTTTAATTAATTAATTAATCAATCAATCAATTAATTGCATTATTATTTCTACTTCTACTATTATTATAACAATATTTTTCTCATCATCTGAATTGAGCCAATAACAAGAGACATGTCAAGAGTGAACTTTTTGACCAATCATATCAAGGAAACAAGGAAGCCATTTGAGTGTTCAACTCGGCATCTTTGGTGAAAACAACCGGGGGGGAAAGCCGCCATTGTTGGGAAAAACGTTTTTGAAGATTTTTGGAGCCATTTTTAGCGTAAAAAGACGTTAAAAAATCAAAAAGAACTGAACAAGTGAAATTGTGGAAAGCATATTTATAAAGAAAATGCTCATAAAGTAATTTGGAAATATTTTAACGAAAACCAAAAATCGAAAAAATATATATATATATATTAAAAAAACGGCCCATCCCCATATGACTTCTTAATATCGACTGTTTATCTTAAGTTGTTTGCATCTCCCTCTACCGTGAAACTCAGGGAATCATCGTCCTCAAAAGAGGTTTTCTTAAAGAAGAAGATTTTCTGAACTTTGTGGTTTTTCAAGGACCTGTAAAGTAGTAAACAAACTTTATCTTTTGCTATTTTCATGGCAAAGGTCTTAATACAACACGAGCGTTAATTAAACGAAGAACTGTAAATGAGCATTCCTTGTTTGGAAAGCCATTTTTGCAGGACAGGATATTTTGCTGTAAAAGGTAAGTAGAATTTTGATCGGCTGTCTCATTTTCCTCAATTCTGTCATAAGTTATTTTCTTCTCACTATTTCTTCCTTCCATAACAATGTAATTTTACTTGCGTTTTCTTTTTTGAGCTGTTTTTTAGTTGAGTGATAGTAAAATCCCTAAAATCTTTGCTTACTTTTACCTAAGATAAAATGGCTGCCATTTTTTCCCTCGATTTGCTTCAAATTTTCCTCAATTTTTCGTCACAATAACCTGTCATCTTATTGGCTAAAATCATTTGTATTGTTTATTATCCAATCAAAAGTTTGAAATCCTTTTGAAATCGTTTGCTTATTCACATAGTGAATTTCTTTTTGCTATACGCGCTAAATCCATGCCCATTAATTCACCTCTACTGAACGTGCCCGATTTGTGTTTAAGGCTCCGGCATTGTTTCAACTTTAAAAAAATCGCTTTCAAATAATACTATTTTCTGAATATCTATTATATGACCTTTAAAACGATATATAGTTTTATGGGGTTTCGTTTAACGTGTTGCGAAGAGAGAGTCTTTAACGAAACATACTCCTGAAGGTCTCCAGTCACCTTAAATAGTGAATAGTTGATTGTGAAAATAATTCGTCATTTGAATGTCGGGTCTTTGAGATACGAAGGTTTATATTTCCAATATGTTAATGAATATGACGCAACATAAGGGATTTGAGTTATTTTGTGGCAACTTTTAATATTGAACGCTGGACATTTTTTGAAAACAAATTTGTAAGATCCTTTACGTGAGTCACGAGTAAAAGGGTGATGCTTTTAAAATACTGTATTCCAGAACGAGTGCAGTATTGTATATTAAATGATCCCTTATTTTACGTCATAGTCATTAACATATTGGGAATACAAACCTTCGTATCTTAAAGACGCGACATTCAAATGAATAAATATCTTCACAATCAACTATCCACTATCTAAAGAATCATTCTGTAAATATTGTGCAAAGGCTTATTAGCACTTTAAGATAGTTCTTAACTTGAACTATTATTTCTATTATTATGTATTATTATTATTGTATTATTATTATTATTATCATGTACAGTTGATGTGATATTTTACGAATTTTATCAACTAATAAAGATGTAGATGTAGATGGCAGATCAAGACCAATACTTTCAAAGGTACATTCTTAAACGATAGCTTTTTGAAAAAGGTGTTTTTCAAGTTCAAAAATGAGTTATTACAAAAATATTGAATAAGAACTTTCAGGAGATCGGACTAATGCTTCGAACTATCCACCTATTTCAATTTTACCAACTCTCACTCAGCAAATTAGTTTAAAAAACTGTTCATTCACAATTATATCATCACGTGGCTGAACATAAATTTCTTTCCAGTAAACGATTTGGCTTTAGACGGCGATCATCTATAGTATCTGCCTTTTCAGCATTTGCAGATGAAGTTTTAACCAACATGGAGCAAGGAAAATTATGTTGGACAGTTTTTTAGACTTAACAAAAGCATTCGACACAGTTGACCACGAGATATAGGTGTCTGTTGATGTTTCTGTTGTTACTGTGGCTTGGTAGATTACGTTATTCTGTAGGCATTTTCCATCGAGAGGGCAATTTGGTTTTTGTCTGCAGTTACATTCTTTTTGTTGCTGGTCGGGTTGAGTATCATTGAGTATCACCTACATAGGACTAGCAACAAACTTTAAAGAACGCTACAGGAACCAAATGTCATTCTTTAAACTCAGCAAAAATAGAAACTCAACAGAACTGTCAAGCACATATGGAACCTAAAAGACGAGAATAGGAACTTTGATATTAAATGGAAGATTATTAAAATATGTAAACCTTATGATAATGTTAACAAAAAATGTAACCTATGCTTAAGCGAAAAATTCATCATAATTTGTAAAAATCACCTATGTACACTTAACAAACGCAATGAATTAGCAAGTCTGTGCCCCCATCGTAATAGATACACACTTAAGAAATTTAGACCATAATGTCGCGCAATTGTAATTTAAAACGAATAGATTTCGAAATGCTAGTTATATATCCTAACAAAGGTCATTCATTGTAACTGCCTGATGAGTGTGGCCGTCTCGCGATGGTCATACGAAACAGATTTGTCGCAATTAAAACAATGAATCCTAACGTCTAAAATTCAATTTGATATACAATGCTCCTACAAAGTTGAGCACTCTATGAAAAAACGTTTTAAATAATTATAATATATATATGTATCGCGACCCTCCTATAAGTTTGATCGAGAGAGAGCCGCCAATATAGACCCGTATTGTCGGCTCAGAATTACCGTGCGTGATTGGCTCATGAGATTTGATTGACGGCGAAAACAGCACTTTTTTGATATCTCAGTCTGGTTTGTGAATGCAACGGTTCACATTGGAATCTCAACATCGATGGCGGAAAATTTATTTTTTACATGTTTTACATCCTTTTTTTACAACTTTGATTTTCATAACTTATTTCCTGACTCGTGATATACTCGGAAATTGTAGCAAAACGATTGTCGGCAGATGCCATTTTGTTGCCGACTCAATATTCCGAGATTCAGAGGTGAAATACAAGACCGTGTACTGATCACCGGTTCATATCAGCTGTTCTATCATGTCCAGCTGATCGTTTTTTTTAAATCAGGGTAAATAAAGATATTATGTGAGTTGTATTTGTAAAATCATTGTCAGTTTTTAATGCATTTAGCTCGCTAAATAAAGTTCTATTTTCTAGACGTTGGAGTTTTTTTATAGTATACGGTGACCAAAGACTTGAAGCATATTCGAGCTGAGGTCTCACAATAGCTAAATAAAGATGTTACGGATTCTTGCATCCGCAATTTCTCTACCACATACACGCTTTATCAAACCAAGACACTTGTTAGCTTTGGAACACATTTCCTCAAAATGCTTTGCCCAGGTGAGGTCTGATGATATAATAACTACAAGTTCTTTTGTATAGGGCGCGTTAGGTAGATCTTCATCGCCGATTTTGTACTGATTAATAGCCTTAATTCCTTTCTTGTGCATATGTAAAACTTTACATTTGTCAACATTGAATTTCATTTTAGAATCGACACTGCAGCTATAAACACGATCAATATCCCTTTGCAAATCGTTGTGATCTGAATCCGATTTGATGACCTTGTATAGTTTAGAATCCTCAGCAAATAAGGCAAGTTTAGAATCACCTAGAATATAAGAAGGCATATTATTAACATACACAAGAAAAAGAAGAGGTCCAAGTATGGATTCTTGAGGAACCCAAGATGATACAGGTAAACATTCGGATTAAGAACCATCAATAACAACACTCTGCTTTCTCTCGCTTAGATTATCAAGAAACCAGTCGAAAAGTCCACCAGTGATACCGTATTTCTTTAGCTTAGAAAGAAGAATATGATGGGTTACTTTATCAAATGCTTTAGACAAATCCATGTGTACAGCGTCAACTTCAGTGCCATTGGCAAGATTTTCTAAGATCATGGTAAACCTCAAGAAGCTGAGTAACTGTTGACTTTCTTTTGAGAAATCCATGTTGTAGAGGATAAAGTAGAGGTGTAATGTGAGAAGAACAGTAGTTAAACACACAGCGTTCCAAAATCTTTGATAAGATACTTAATAGAGATATCTGTCGGTAGCTAGAAGCAAGTGATGGATCTTCTTTTTTAAAGACTGGAGTGATATTTGCACGCTTCCATAATGTTGGTACTTTTCCTAACGACAGTGATAGGTTGAAAAAACGACTTAGTGATGGGGCTATAACATCAGCAGTGTTCTTCAGAATGTTACCAGGGATATTATCAGGACCACATGCTTTCTTAGGGTCAATCACCTGCAATGCTTTACAAACAAAATCTATAGTAAGTTTAATGTTAGCTAAGAATGGAATATTGCTAGTAGAATCATCAACATTGTCAATTATATTAGAATTGCTGGTTGTAAATACAGAGTGAAAGTAGGTGTTGAGAAGGTTTGCTCTCTCAGCACTGTCCGTTATAAAGGACTGACCATCACGAAGAAAGTTAGGACCCGAACGCTGTGATGTATACGACTTGACTAGAGACAAGAAGTGTTTAGGGCTCTCTAGAAGTGAGCACTAGACGATAAAAAAGTCACAGACATGGTCCAAATTGATCTGTCCAAAGATTTTGATATCCTAAGCCATTCCATGTTGGTTCCTAAGCTGCGGGATCTGGAAAGCTCATAAAGCACTCTTGTATGGTTTAAAGATATCTAACAGATAGACTGCAGTCTACTCGTGGTTCCTTCAATCTCCAGTCCTCTTGTTGTCACTCATGGGGTGCCACAGCGCTCTATATTGGGCCCTATGCTCATCAACCTATATATAAATTATCTCCCCGGGGAGGTGGAAAACTGTGATGTGGAGTCGTCTGTGGATGATACCAAGTTGTATCTACAAATTTTTCACTGAACACACTGAAGGACACTGAACTTAACTTATCCAAAGTTTCAACTGATCTCCAGCGCGTTGCAGGATGGCCTTGTTCACACTCATTACTGATTAACCCTTAAAAGACAAAGATTATGCATAACTTTTGATTCTAGTGTCTTTCAATGATCATATTAGTAACCTGACATCGTCGCTCTTGTAGTCACTTTGCCAAATAAGTAGATTTAAGCACTTTTTTTCTAAAGATATACTATCGTTAATGTACAACTCACTAATTTTTAGAAAAGTGTTCTCTTGTGCCACAATTTGGTCAGGAACTTCTAATCAGAATATCAATGAGCTTCAGTTAATTCAGAGCTTTGCAGCACGTATCCTAACTGACACTAAGAAGTTTGATCATATCACAACAGTACTAAAAGAAGAGATAATTAGCTCAAAACTAGTGTGAGCTGCGTCGGTATTTCTAATGAAACAGTAATGATAAAAGGCGAAATCAAATACACAAGAAGCATGTTAGTCATTCAGTGTTCATCAATACTTTATTTGTTCTCTGTTATCAAAACATTGATTTTATAACTTTGTATCACCATGTTTTGATAACAGAGAACAAATAAAGTATTGATGAACAAATGACTAACATGTTTCTTGTGTTTTTGATGTCTTCTGTGTATTCATATATAGATTGATTCACTTGAGTGATATCGACTAAATAGGCACTAAATTGCGACTATTAGTTAATAACTATTTTGTTTTTATTTCACGGATTAAGTACCATCGCTCTATATAAGCACTCCTTTCTGTCGCCTCTTTCTCTTTTATTCCAACGAAGGAATAGCGTCCGAAACGTCAGTAAGTTTTTCTCATCTTTTCACACGGTGTATAGTTTACCCTTTTATCATTACAGTACTAAAAGAACTTGCATGGCTCCCTGTGCATAACCAGCTGGAGGTTAGGGATGTTACCATGTTTATAAATGCTTTTATAAAATAACTGTTATGAATGTCGCGTTCTGATTGGTTTGGAGCGCGTGCTTTATGAGAGCACATTGCACGCGCGCGCATTTTCCGTTGCGTCATTCCTATCCATTATTGTAATTTGTATTTTTAAAAGAAATAAAAAACTTGCTTACTGTGCTGTGTGCAGTCATAAAGCACTTGGGGATTGGCAGAACACTCAAGAAGTGTCGAGAAGCACTTCTCCTAACACTTCTCTCGTGTTCTGCCAACCCCTGCGTGCTTTATGACAGCACACAGCACGCGCGCGTTTTCTATTTCATCAGAATAATTTAGTACCAACTTATATTGCTAGCAAACTGTCTAATCGTGCACAGGTACATAATTAAAGCACAAGACATAGCGATCATCCTAATGTTCCGCTTTTGCCTTACCGCAAATGCGCAGCGCTCCTTTTTTTTTTTTTTTTTTTTTATCATGGCGTTAAGACTTACAACTCACTTAGCACGCAGACCAAAAACTCTAAGACCTTGAAAAAATTTAAGTGGAGGTCCAAATATATTTTTATTTAGCTTAGTAGTATAATTGTATTATTATAATACTCTAATATAATATCATCATTATGATGTATCCATTATGTTTAATTTAAGTTCTTTCCACATGCATTGTAAATTATTTATTTATAATTAGCAATTGTCACAAAAGATAACTTCAGTTACTTTTAAATCATAATTTGAAAATGTTTGGCAACGTACCCTCTTTTTTATTATTATTATTAATATTTTGCCGGTCTTACTCTAACATAAAACCACCAGTAGATTTAAGAGATGTGAGTTATCACTAAGCTTTAAAAACAACAAACAAATCTGGTTGCTATGGAAGTGATTGACAGGTGTCAATCTCGAGTCCATTATTTTCAGAATACTAATTAGTATCTTATGTCCCAGGACGGCATGCTATGGACCAATCACTGATAATTTCACGATATCATTAATATCCATTTTAAGATGACTTTAGTAATTAAGTTAAGGTGAGACTAGTTAATGATTTCCATTAAACAGCAGCGATTCTGCCCGATGTTTAAATACATATCAAAATGCTAAAATAAGAATGAATTTTATCAAGCCGAATTGGTAATTTTGATTCCCAGCACATTCAAACAGAAAATTAAATAATCCGTGAGTCACCAAATGTGGGTTTCCTTTATATACAAACTCTATGTACGACGACCCGATATTAGATTCCACTTAGGAACCAACTTTAATGTAATAGCGACATCGACTCTCCTCAAGCAATCCCATTAAAATACACTATACCAATATTCTCAGAAATTACTGAAGTTTATCTTGCTAGCTCGGTGGGCAACGTTCCGGTTTTTTTTATTGCATGGACGAATAGATAATTCGATGAATCGACAAAAGAGGCATTTGTTTACATGTCCTTATAAAACCAACTTATTTCAAGGCAATTTTGACATGGACTTTTTTCAGCCTGTTCAATAGAAACTTAAATCAGAATGAAGCTAAAAAACTTAATTTTGATAATTCGAATTTATTTAAGCAAATAGGCGAAATCTCAAAATGTATTTACCCATCTTTAGCCCTCTCAAAAGTTGTGGGCGTGACATTTTTTTTAATGTAAAAGAGCGTAACTCTGGCATAATGCAGTTTGCGCTGTTTGAGCGCCTATTTTTCATATATGTATTTGTTTGTGTTTCCATCAAACGTTACTGAAAATTGCTCATCTTAAACACAGTATGACAAAACTACTCTGTTTCACACAATGCCGGATCTTTTATCAAGGTTCAAGACAAAGATAAAAAGAAGATTTCTTGATAACATTTAACTGCAAGCTCCACATCTCCAGCTGTTCTTGGGTCCTTGACAATCTCCAATATGCTTTAAAAGTTAAGTAAAGCCTCATATATTTTACTGACACTGTCTCGTTTTCATCAAGAAAAGGTTTATTTGCGTGAAAGTCGCATATATATATAGTATTATGCAAGATGGCCGCCACGAAACGTCAAGTGAATTAAGCGTGCGGTGCATGCTGGGATTTATTCCTTTTTGATAGCAAAAGTTATGCTTTTTGCGCTTAGTCAAAATACCTGGACATAATCAAAATCGATATTTTACTTACGTGGTGGGTGTCCACACACAACACTCGCATCTTCTCTATGTCCACATTTATTATAACCCAATGTTCTATGATCACACTCAAACAAAGATGATTCACTCCCACTGCAGCGTACATTTTCCATCCAGATTGGACCAGTTCCTTGACCAAAGGCTGCGTTGCGTGGTGCAGCCACTGCTCTTGGAAGACCCAGAGAGCTACACACAACTTTAGCCTCTTCAAGACCCCAATGATAGTCTCCACAGACTGTTCCCCATTGACCATTATAGAAAATCTCTACTCGACCTTCTGTGTTGTTTGTGTTATCTGAACCTCCCACTAGGCGAACAATGACTGTAACCGTGAAAAAAAGTTGTTATAAAATAGAACAGTGAAGAATGTTATGTTAAAAGAATATTTTATTTCCGATTGGCGTTCCACGAAAAGGAACAAAAGGGGTGCCCTCATCTGGACGTGAACTAGTTTCATAAAATAAAATTCGAATATTCTATACACACAACTCTCAGCTTATATGTTGATTTTTATAGAGGGAGGAAAGCCGGAGAACCCGGAGAAAGACCCTCGTGGTAAAGAAAAAGGACAATCCGCAGGGCTCGAACCAGCGACCCAGGTCGCAGCGGTAAAAGACCACGCATAAGCAGAGTACGCCACCCATGTCACCCTTGTTTGGCATTTATCGATCGATTGTCTGGTTCTTTTAAGTAGTTTGCAATCCTATTTATTTATTTTGTTTCCCCAATTAGTGTTAGAACGCTAAAGAAAAATGATACATTAATAAAGTATATTATTATTATTATCTATTATTATTATTGTTATTATTGTTATTTGAAAATATTTTTGAATAAATTATTATTATTAGTTGCGTCGCAAAAATTATTAGTATTATTATTATTATTATTATTATTATTATTATCCCTTTACTGCACAGCAAAATAAGAATATTACAACTCTTTTGCTGGTATACATTAACCTTCAGCTCGGGATCCTGACCCGGCTCCTGAGAGCTGAAGCACTCTTCTTAAGATGTGTGGCGTGCCTAAAAAGTACAGATTTCTGTAGGTCTAACAAGCTTATACTATCAAGTTCTAGTCTCTGAACATGATCCTTAAATTGTTTTGATATT